GGGGCCCAGGGCTGGGTGGAGATGGGCAAAGAAAGGCATCTATAATATAATGTCAACAATAAAAATAAAGTTAAATAAAAGAAAAAATATTTAGGGATGGAGGCACTATATTATTTGCAAGAACATTTTATTAACATATTTTAAAAATATAAAAATCTTTTTAAATAGGTCATACTTTGATTGCTTTTTAGTTTTGTCAAAATCTAATCTAATTTATATTCTAGAGGAAAACAATTTTAAGACTATTTCTTTTGCAGAGTGTGTTAGATTGGAAGAGAGAATTGCAATAGTAACATGGAAAACCTGTAAACTTATTTTACAATGTTATTTCTTTGGTCTTTATGACTTTATCCAAAGTTTCAACTATTGAGGAACTCTCGTATCCCTACTGTCATAAAGCAATTTTATGGGACTATAGAAATTGATTCTTAAAGTTTTAGAGCTAAAAAAAAAATATGGCCATCTGTCCAGGTCTTGGTAAAGGGCTTACTTTATTTAAAATTAACCATAGCCCTGGCCAGTGTGACTCAGTTGGTTGGGTGTAGTCCCATGCACCAAAAGGTTGCTGGTTCGATTCCCTGTCAGGGCACATGCCTGAGTTGTGGGCTTGATCCCTGGTAGGGGGTGTGCAGGAGGCAGCCAATCGATGTTTATTTCTCTCCCTCCCTTCCTTTCTCTTTAAAAATCAATAAAAAAAACCTTTAAAAATAAAACTAACCATAAATTATTTACTCTATGAGGACATTATTATAAGTACTTTTTTGACAAGTCCGATGCCTTAGATGAAGGAAATTTTTCTTCAAACATAGTTTGATTGAGTGAAGTAATAACCTTCTACATTATGGGGATTTTGTAGTGACATCACTTAAACATTGCATTATCCACGTCTTGCATCCTAACTGGGGTATCTCAGCTCACATGGACAGATATTATCCTGAGGATAAGCAAGTACTCAGGGTCATTCTTTAAGGAATTCATCTAACACTCAGGAACTGTGTTAGGTAATGGGGACAAAGAGGAAGAGATCTCTTTTCTTGAAGAGTCATAGTCTGGTGAAAAGACAGATATTAAATTCAGGAAGGCTTCCTGGGCCCAGATAACTTTAACATTGAATTAACATAGAGGAAAATTGTGGTTCTGTGAATGAAAGGGAAAAGGATTCCATGTTTTTAGAACTCTACTGTGTAGAGTTCAGTAAGCCAAGTCCAGTGACTGGGAACTGCTGAAAAGAGTCGTGGGCTGTTTCGGAGTCTGGGGTCACTGAGGAAATAACTGAAGGGCAGAGAACTTGACGCTGGGTATGAGAATGCTACATCTGCGGTGAATGTGCAGCACCTTAGAGCCATCCTGACCAGAAGGGAGCACACGGAGCTGGTGTAGCCCTCCACCCTCTGCGTGAAATGAAGACATGGATTCATGGCCATGTCAGCGGCTCTTCCAGTTACCCGAGTAGTCCTGTACATGCCACCTGTAGATTCATGCCTCTTTTTGACTGCAGAGCCCTGGGTCATCTCAGTGCTAGGATCCTAATTCAGTCATAATCTCTCTGTTTTACCTGAGTAGGCTGGAATAGGATGATGGGAAAGTCAAGGGACTTATGAGACTATTTTCCCTATGAGAAAAGGAAAAATTTTAAAGATATTTGCTAAATGCCTGTGACATTGTACAAAGTATTTGGATTAAAAGTAAATTACATTTAGCTCTAGCCGGTTTGGCTCAGTGGATAGAGCATCAGCCTGTGGACTGAAGGGTCCTGGGTTTTATTCTAGTCAAGGGCACATGCCCTGGTTGCGGGCTCGATCCTCAGTGGGCGGTGTGCAGGAAGCAGCCAATCAATGATTCTCTCTTATCATTGATGTTTCTATCTCTCTCCCTCTCTCTTCCTCTCTGAAATCAATAAAAATGTATTTTTTTTAAAGTAAATTACATGTAATGGGCCCTTAGTAACTTCCAGGCACTATTCAGACCTCTTTAAATACTTTGTCTCATTTCACCCTTTCAATAACCCTGTGAGTTAAATACTTTGTCATTCCTACTTTACAGATGAAGAACCTGGAACACAGACACTTTAAATTGATAAGGGCCTCACCAGTAATAAATGGTGACACCAGGGTTCAAGTGCAGGCAGCCTGAGTTCTTGGAGCCCATGGAGCTTTGTGAACTGGGGTAAATTACTCAGTCTCTTGAATCTTCATCTGTAAAATGGGAATGGTCATAATAAGGATAGTGCCAGCTCCTAGGGTTGTCATGCAGGTAAGTGCTTTGCACAGGTAGCATACATGTGCACTTTTGTCCCTCTCTGCTGTGCCCAGCTCTCCGGCATGAGGGCAGAGGCTGGGAAAGCACACCAGGCCCCCTCCTCCAGACCACAAGTGCCTCCTTCCATCAGTGTTTCCTGCTCCAAGAGTCAGGCCTTAGTCAGTGTAAGATAATGACCAATAAATGGTAGTGGCTGCCTTTGTGAAGTTGTCATTTTTATTTAATCTGTATCCTGAAACTAATATCGTTTTCTTGAAATCAGGAGGAAAGATATATTACATTGTGCTTGGGGATGGAATTTGTTTTTCCTCACCCACTTGTCATTGCTCTTTGGGTGAAGAGTCAATATAGTTGGCACACTATTGCCAATTTCAGAGGAATGAGCTATAACAATAAAGAGAAAGAGATTCAGAGGTTTTGCAAGTTAGGTTCTAGTGCTCATTTGCTTTGATTCTGATTTTTTGTGAATTGGCTACTGGGAATGTAATCTCACTTCAGATGCACTTTATATTTCTTAAATGACTTTGTTTCTGAAGCACATTCCCTAAGAGGTGATGTATGCATTTAACATTTCTCAGCCTAAAAGGATGACTTCATTTTGCGTGGGAATGTTGTGCACATCCATGTAAATCAGTACATTGTTGATATGTCTAATATGGTCCTGCGGAGAAACAGAACCAAGAAAAGATGTGTGTATCTTGGCTTGTGCAAAAATTGTGGGGACTGGCAAGTTCCAAGCCTATAGACTGGCCAGTTGGAAATTCAGGCAAGCGTTGAAGTTACAGTCTTGAGTCTGAAATTTTGAAATCTGTAAGGCAGGCTGGTAGTATGGAAATTCCAGCAGAATTCCTGTGTTACAGTTTTGAGGCCAAATTCCTTCCTCTCCAGGAATCTTCCGGTTTTGTTCTGTAAGTCTTCAACTGATTGGATGAGGCCCACCCAGGTTATCAAGGGTAACCTCCTTTACTTAATCAACTGATTGTAAGTCAACGACATCTACAAAACATCTTCACAGCAACATCTAGGTTGTTGTTTGACCAAACAATAGAGCACCATACCTAGCCAAGTTGACACATAACATTAACCATTGCATGTGTGTTCAGCCTCGCGGTGTGGAAGTGTCTGTTGCTAGCATCTCAGGCTTCCCAGCTCATCCAGTTCAAGTCGAATGCTAGTGTTCTGAGGACTTATCAGGAGCTTGGACACTGCTCTGACTCTGCACCAAAGAATTCTAATTTCCTCGTTTGCCTGACTGAGGAAAAAAGGATGAGAATCTTTAGAAAAGAAGGAAAGTGTCTTTACTAAGCAACTTAATGAACTGTGCACCTTGGTTTATAAAGAACCTACAGAGGCCAGCCAAGGATTGTGCCGGCTGTGAGGGCTTACATTCTGGGCTATCAAGCTAACAGGAAAGTAGATGAATGCAGGAAACAGTGAGGTCACAGAGAATCACTGAAGAGCCACACCTGAGTGTGTGTGTGTGCGTGTGTGTGTGTGATGTGCAGGGTTAAGGGATAGGAAATATTCATCCTTGAGGTTGAGGCTTAAAAGAAGCATGCTGATTTGCAGACTGTCTCTGGGGAAGTGAAGGAGGAGCGGGGACAGATAAGGGAGGCTGGGGCTGACCAATGGCTTGGCTGATTTAAGCGAAGGATGTAGGTCTCAGGACTGAGATTGGCCGAGGCCCGGGAGAGAGGCGAGTGCCTGATCATGGCGTCTGTGCGTTATCCCACCAGAGGTAAAGGTGAGAGACATCATAGTTTTAAACCAGAGAATAACACAGACAGCCCTCTTAAAATAGGCTGAGTGTTTAAAACTCAGCCAACAGTATGGCTGTTTTCAACCAATACAAAATAGGAAATTAGGTTAGGAAATCTCTGAGAAAATATATTTCAGTAGGGTCAATTTAAAGCCAACTGAGCAGCCTTGCAAAGGACTGAGACTGGTCTCTGGGGTTCTGTGCTATAGTTGGGCTCAAAGGTGCTTCAGATGGATACATTGAAATACGGGTTCAGCATGATGGAAGGTGGGAAATAGGAAGGACATTTCTAAGTCCTTTTTGCACTGAGCTCAGTTTTACTTTTCTGTTATGACGGTTATTTTGCTTTTCAATTTGATGAGAACTAACATAGTGTCGTCAATTTTTGTTTATTTAATATCGCCATGTGCATAATCCAAAATAATTTGTGAGGTCCTATGGATGGTGCTTTATTTATACCCCCTTATGCCTGGCATACAGCTGGACACATAATAGCCACTCAGTGTGTTGGTTGATCTGCCTTAAAAACATTGAACTACTTACTCAGGTCCTTCTTGATTTCGATGAGCATTCAAGTGTGTAGTAGCAAAGAGCTGGAAAATGCTGGCTAGTGCTTGTCCAAGTGTCGTTTTCCTTTAAACTGGCTCTGAAGGTTTCTGCTGCTTAATAGCAAAGAGAAACTTCAAGTCAGGGAGCAGCTTGTCCCCCTGACGGTTCAGGTCAATCGATGGTTTTTACTCTGGGTATCGACAGCTCTCTGCTGCATGCCCTTGTCATGGGCTACGTGGGTTGACTGTGGTGAAATGGATTATACTGCTTTTATTGCCTCTCAAGATTTAATCAGTACCCAGTAAGCATGATGCGTGCCCGTGACTTTTCCTTTGCCTTTTAATTGTTCAGGCTGTAGGGCCGTTGAAGGTGCTGTTGTGTGTTCATACCTTGACTGATCAGTTTTTAACTCAGAGCTTACGCTTCTTTGCAGGATGCCACAATTTGGAAGCCCGATTCGTGCCAGAATTGCCGTTGCCATGGTGATATTGTTATCTGCAAACCTGCTGTTTGCAGAAACCCTCAGTGTGCCTTTGAGAAGGTATGATGTGCTAAATGTGCCCTAAATGTATTGGCAAAGTCAGTGAAACGGTAGGGTTTTGGCATTTTTTTTTTCAGCCATCTAGTTTTTTATTCCAAACTAACTGGAAACTTTATGAAATACGAGAGATAATTTTTGCATATTATATTTAAGAATCTCTTAATTTCTGTTTATCGGGCATTCAGTACTTTGGACCGGGCACTCTTTTAAAGGTTTTACAAATATTCTTCCATTTACTGTTATGTGGGGTAGGTATCTTTATCCCCACTTTACAGATGAGGAAAGTGAAACCTAGAGATTGGAAGCAACTTAACCATGATTATGCAGTTAATAAACCAACTGCCACCCAGAGATTTTCCTGGGTTCGACAGTTGCCAAGGCTACTTGATACTAACCACAGCATTTATAAGCCACTGAATGGATTGAAAGTCAGGGTCAACTTCTTAAAGATGGTTTTCTAAAAACATTATTTGTTCTGATTGTATAATTGTGCTTCCTTTGGACTCCCTAGAATATGAGAGGCTCTGACTCAAAAATTTCTGTTATTTGACTAAGTGTATGAGGAATGTTTCATCTTGTCCCTCTGTTAAGTTTTTTTTTTTTCTAACTACAGATCTATGCTGTTAGAATATTTTTTTTTAGGTGCTGACTCTTTTGTTTTTAAAGTGAGTCTATTAAAATAAAAAGAGCTTAAGAACATTTGAAACTCCCTGGAGAAGACCAATTATTTGTTCTGAAAAAGCATTCTGTCAGTTTCACAGTTTATTTTTTCTAGTTTTCTTGCTCCCCCCACAATAATTAATCTTGAGCTTTCATACCTTCTAGTGCTAATACATTTCTGTTTCTAACTTTGGAGTGAAGGTTCTGTATACCTTTAAGGTATATTACTCAATTTCTGTGTGTATATTCCTGAGAAGTTGGTTGTACATCAAGTGCTGGTAAATTTGATAATATTTTGTTGTATATTATAGAGCTTTCTATTTTATGGAGTAAACACTCTTAAAAGATCACTGTTTAGCTTGCTGAGTAATTCATGTCAAAATCTGAGCTGATTGTGTAATGGTAATGAAAACATGCCCTTTTCCATGTCACATGAATAATTGTGGTATCACAGCAAAAGCCCTGAACTCACTGTTATAAGACACACACTGTATCACTGAAAACTAAATGTGTTCTATACCAGGGGGCCACCAACAGAATCTAGCCTCTATGACTGCAAACAAACAATAATTTTTGCATTTTGAAATGGTTGGAAAAGATCAACAGAGAGCAATATTTCACGATGTGAAAATTATATGAAATCAAGTTTTAGTGTCCATGAATAAAGTTTTATTGAAACACAGACAGACTCATCTATTTACATATTGCCATGACTGCATTATAGTGATGAGTTGTGTAGTTATGATGTAGATCAAAGGCAAAAATATTTTGCAGACAAAAGTTCTGACCCTTGTTCTTTACCAAACGTGATTTTATGCCTTCCTCATTTGTTCCTCTCCTATTTTTTCCCATTTCAGTAAAGGGCAGCTCCCTTTGTCCACTTCCTCAGGCCAGCAAACAGCATCATCCTTAGCTCCCTACTTTCTCCCACATCCCACATCATTAGCAAACCTGCCAGCTCTTCATGAAACAGTACATTCCACATGGTCTTCTCTGCTCTATCTCTGCTCTTACTGTTATCATTGTTTGCTTCATTCTCACACTAACCTCTTAACTTGTTTCACTGTTTCTGTACTTGCCTATTTCACTGTAATCTTGATATGGTAGCCAGGGTGATCCTACCAAAATTGAAGTCAGATCATGTTGCTTCTTTCCTTAAACCCCTTCAGTGGCTTCCAATGGCTTCTCTTCTCACAGTAACTCTTCACAGTGTCCTTTAAGGTGCTATTGCACCCTATTAATTAACCAACTCTTCTCTCCCTTGCTCTCTCTGCTTTAGACATCATGCCTGCTTGCTGTTGAGTGGCTATGCCAGGCACACTCATGCCAAAGGGCCTTTGCTCTGTTGTTCCTACAGATATATATATATATATATATATGCCTTGATCTTTCTATTCCTTTATGTTTTTCCTGAATATCTTTCCATTTAAAGTTGCAATTCTCCATCCCATATCACACATTTCTTATCCCTTTTCCATGCTTTAGTTTTCTTCTTGGCATACACTACTCTCTGATGTACTCTATATTTTACTTACCATTCTTGTTTACTGTCTCTTTTGTTCACTGTATATCCTCAACACCTACAATAGCAACTGACACATAGTAGGCATCAGTCAATATTATTTGACTGACCATATGAACGAATTGGAGATGGGGCCAGAGAGTTGGTAAGTTAAGGTTATGGAGAGCCTTGTATGGTATACTCTGAAGCTTAGAATTTTATTTTTAAGATGATTAAATACTAATGAAGGTTTCAGGCATATGGGTAAATAGCCAGCTTTTCTTTTAGAAATCTCTCTCTGGTTTTTAGAAAATAATACATAATGTTAGATATGAGGAGGTGAGTTCAGAGGCTGTGAGATTAATCCAGATGAGAGGGAGAGTATTTAAATCGGGAACAGTGGTAGTGTCGGGAGCAAGAGGAAAGGGCAGGCTCAAGAAATATTTAGGTGATAAATCAGCAGGACTGGGTGAAAGTAGGAGGGCAAGGGGAAGGAAACAGAGAGATGACTCCCATATTTATGACTTGATGACTAGTTGGTTAGCTGAGCCATCAACTGATGTTGAGAATATAGGAGAGTGAAGGAAAGCATCCCATCTGGGAGGGAAATGATGATTTCAGTTTGGGGCACATTGAGTTTGAAGTGTCCATGGAAACTCCAAGTGGATATTTCATAAAGACAGTTGGGTATGAGTCTAAATCTCAGAGAAGATAGGGTTGGAGGCAGTATGTGCATATGATTAGTATATAGATAGTAGTACAAACTTTTAGAAGTAATGAGATCATCCAAAGAGATTGTATGGGGAAAAAAGTACAAGGCCAAGGATGGAATTTGGGGAACACAAACATTTAAGGGGAGGTGGACCTAGGAAGATTAGAAAGACACGATCAGCAGGTAAAAGGTAACCCTGACCAGGTAGCTCAGTTTATTGTAGTGTTGTCCCGTACACCAAAAGGTTGTGGGTTCTATTCCTGGTTAGGGCACATACCTAGGTTGTGGGTTCGATTGCCAGTCAAGGCGCTTATGGGAGGCAACATCTCTCACATTCATGTTTCTCTCTCCCTCTCTCTCTCTCTCTCTTTTCTAAAAAATCAATGTAAAACTATCCTCCAATTACGATTAACAAAAACAATTATAAAAAAAAGAGGCAGTTAGAAACCAGTCCTGTCAGAACAAATCCTCTTAAGGATTTCTGAAGACTATCTAGGTACAGAGGACAATGACATGCAAAGGAACAACTGTATTAGTACATGGAGTGGGGTTTCAGCTGCAAGCTTCAATGCAGATAATAGTATTTACCTAATCAAGTTGTTGTGAGAATTAAAAAAAAATATATATATATACACACACATATACATATACATACACACATGTATACATGTATACATACATACATATATATACACATACACACATATATGTGTACATGTATGGTGGCAATAGTAGGTTTACAGTTGTGAGTGCATGAAACACAGAGTTTATCTTCTATCATTATTTACTAGAGGCCCAGTGCACAAAATGTGTGCATGGGTAGGGTCCCTAGGCCTGGCTGGCAATCAGGGCCAATCTGTGGGGTGACCAGTAAGGTGATGGGGGGGGGCCCTGCTGGCACCTGCCTTGGCTGGCCTGGTGCTGCCCACTCACTGGTCCCGCCCCTGCTGCTGCCGGTCGCCTCCCTCTGGGAGGCAAATGGCAGGGCGATCGGGGCCCCCGCTGGCACCCACCTTGGCTGGCCTGGGGCCTGTGGGCTGGGGGAAGCTCCTGCGTTGAGCATGTGCCCCCTGGTGGTCATTGCATGTCATAGTGACCAGTCATTCAGCCAGTCGTTCCACCATTCAGTTGATTTGCATATTAGGCTTTTACTATATAGGATTCTTGTATTATATATTTTTCTGTATGAACAACTGTAAACCTCCTTTTGCATACCTGGCTATTTTAAGTACTCAATAAGTGTTAGCTATAATTATCAAATTATCATCATAATTATTGTTAGTTGGCTCTTCTAGATCCTACACAGGTAATCTTGCCCAGCTCCCCTAGCGATCTTTATTGATGTCTTGCCCATGTGGCCACTTCCCAGTGCTCCACAGTGCAAAGCCTGGAGGGCAATAGGCTTATGTGTTCCATGTAGCCCACAGCTCACACAGCTGTGCAAGGTTTCACCGTGAGGTAGCAAGAGCTCCCTGTCTCTCCTTCTCTAAGCACCCACATGCAAATTATTTTGCTCTTCCATTAGCTCCAAATCATCTTTCATGTTCAACCAGAAGTTCAATAGATAGACTCAAGATGGAAACCCCTCATTGCCACTCATAAATAAGGGATTATATATTTATGAAATGAGGTTTGAGGGCCATATCTGAAAATTAGTTTTTATGAAAAACAAAGAAAACTAACATGGAGGCATATAATATCCCTTGAAATCTCCCATTCTACCTTGCTTGTTCCCCTTGCCCTCTGTTTGCATATTAGAATATAAACACTTGGTTTATCTCATTTTCTATTTTATGAAATTCTTAGTGCAAATTAGGCTAATGTAGTTTCCACATTGGACTATCTTAGTGGGAATTATACAAGTGTCGTTTCTCTTCGGGTTCAGAGGACACTTCTCTGGAAAGTCATTAACATTGCATAGTATGTAGAATTTTATAAAATCCCATATCTTATGTTTATCCTTTATCAAGCAAGTAGGAAGAATTTGGTGATTACTGTTACTGGTATATTTATCTGCTTTAAGGATTGATCATGTTAGTCCCATTGCTCACCCACTCTTGTGAATGTAGTTATATAAAATTACAATTTTCTTGCACGCTCAATTTTTTAAATAGAAGCAGCCTCAAATAACAAGGAAACATGAACACACACACACACACACACACACACACACACACATTTTTTTTCCATTCCAGCAGCTGAATTCTTTGTAGACTTTTATTCTGTGAACAGTTATGATTTCCTGGCTGATGTAGGATCTCCTAACATTTTTGGCTGAAATCACTCACTGCCTGTTCTGCCCCATCTTAAGACTGAGGAAGCGCTAGGATATATGCAGTGGGGGAACAAGACAAAGCAGAGGATTGAACAGGAGACTCCCTGGCCACAAAGACAAACATCAGCTCTTTGCACCGTAGTTTTAATAACTTAGATAAATGGATTACTCACAGCGGCAAACGGATGGTTAGTTAATGTGCCAACTTCCCAGTAACTCCTGGGGTGTCTCCTGGTAGCACATTCCCTTGATAGTATCATATCTTATTAGGAAACACAATTGCCATTATGGAAGCCTTGAAAAGCAATGTAGGTCTTTCCTGGAGCCCATGAATTCCGCCAGCCCTCCACACCACACACGATACCTCAACAATGCCGTTTCCTCTCCCAGCTTTGTCCTTCGGTATTGCCTTGCTCTCCGAGTCCCTGGTAAAAGTGAACCTCAGGCCGAAACCAGTTTGGCTCAGTGGATAGAGCGTCGGCCTGCGGACTGAAAGGTCTCAGGTTCCTTTCCGGTCAAGGGCATGTACTGGGTTGCGGGCACATCCCCCGTGGGAGATGTGCAGGAGGCAGCTGATCGACGTTTCTCTCCCATCAATGTTTCTATCTATCTCTCTCCCTTCCTCTCTGTAAAAAAATCAATAAAATATATTTTAAAAAAAAGTGAACCTCAGAATCTCAGCCCCGCCCCCCCTCCCCTCTGCCATAGAGGCTGACTGCATTTAACCTTTTTAGGAAATCTGGAAGACCTGGGGCCACCAGCTCTGTGGCCACCCCTCACCCCTACCCAGGTCAAGATACAGTCCTTCTCTCACCCTCTTTGCTTTTCTTATGTGACACTCAGATGAAGCATTTCTAGTGAACAAAATTCTTCACTTCGTTAGATGTAAAAAGACGTAGACAATTTCCAATGAAATTGCTTCCACAAGGGGGTTCATTTTATCTTTGACGAAGCTCGTCTTGACAGAGAGAATCCCTTTTGTTTGTTTATTTGGTTTATCCTGTCTATTATTGTCACCCGTGGAAACATATGAGATTTAGTGCTTCCGAGATGGCTAACGTGCAAAGAACCATTGTGAGTGCTGCCGCTGTTTAACACTGAGCTGTTTTTAAATGCCCAGGGAGAAGTGCTTCAAATAGCCGCCAACGGGTGCTGCCCCGAGTGTGTGTCCACAACTCGTGGGTCTTGCCATCACGAAGAGAAAATCTATGCGGTAAGTGTTTTCTGACCCAGGGGTGATTCTCTGTCTGTAGATCATTGACAAGGGGAGGCTGAATGCTAACCTTGTGTTGACAAGAGAGGTGTTTTTTCCCTTTGTCTGGGCTCTGGAGGACCGAAAGCTCATTTGACTTTCCACAGGCATTTGGGTTTCTTGAATAAGATTAAAACTGCCCTATTTATTCCTTAGACCCTATGTAAATATGCATAGATTGAATTTGTGTCCGTGCAAAGGGTAGTCTGAGAATGTTGATGCTGAAGAAGTTGTGATGCTAAATAATAAAAGTGCCAGCTCGGTTTTATATACCACATACCGTTTTTTTTCATTTGAGTGGTGAGTAGAGCAGATATTATTATTCCAGTGTTAAAGATGAAATACTTGAATTGCAAAGAGCTTAAGTACTTGCCCAATGTGGTATTGCTAGTAAGTGGGATAACCTGACCTAGAACCCTGGTCTTCTTTCCTTTAGGGGAGAGTTTCTAAACCTGAGGACTATTGACATTTTAAGCTTGTTGTGGGGGCTGTCCTATGCATGTACGAAATTTAGCAGCATCCCTGGCCTCTACACACTAGATGCTAGGAGTACCCCTGCCCCCAGTCTAATGTCCAGAAATGTCTGCATGCATGGCCAAATTCCCCCAAAGGGGCAAAATGCTCAGCTACCCCCGTTTAGAATCACAGTACTAGAAATTGGTCCTAAAATTCCTTTATTACACTTTCTCATTTCAGATCATTTGGGATTAATTTTGAGCTACTAAATGCTGATTTAGAAGTACCATTGCCAGGTTTATAATAGAAGTTATGAAAATGGAATGGTTACAGTTAGTTCATCTTTACTCATACCTAAATGTTACCTGGAGGCAGCAGGTGAAGTTGAATGGGATGGAAAGAAGCTCTTTGCTTTAATCCTCATCTTCCACCTGATACAAAACTTTCTCCAAGTTGGTGCCTCTACCCATTCAGGAGGGAGCAGAGGTTAACAGGATTTGATAATATCCACTCTCGGCTGCTATTCAGTGTGCAGACCTAAAACTCGGCAAGGACAATGCACTGTCCCTGTGGGACGGGATCATCTCACCTGAGCCAGTGTCTCTGCCTTACCTGAGGAAGCCACTCTTTCTCTTCTGCATAATGTGCTGGTGGAAGGCAGCCAGGCAGGATCTATGTTGGGAATGTCTTCATAGCACGTATCCTCTGTGCTGCTTGATTCAGTCTGTGTTATGTTGGGTGATGTAAGGTTTGCCCTCCACGGAAGAGGATCCATGTGAAACGGAAGGTATTGCAGGACAGACCGGTGATGGAGATAATGTCTATTCATAATGATTGTATTAGGTGGGTGGTTCAAGGTCAAAAACACCAAGCTAAGTCATTCAAGGGAAGGAGCGCATAGGGTCAAAATAAGGTCAGGAACTGAGGAACATTAGACGTCTCACATAAGAGCTGGTACCAGGGACATGGGAAAACAGAGTTCGTTAACTCTGCATGGACCACTATACTGACACTTAACATTTTGCTCTCTCATGTTACGTTTGTGCACATGTGCAGGCTTCCTATCTTGATGTAAGAGGCCTGAGAACACTGACATTTTCTATATCTTTAGAGTGATCTTCCTTGCATCCCACCTAACCTGGCGCTTAACACTGAACTTTTCCCAGAGTAGCTGCTCAATATACATTGATGACTGGAGGACTCAGACAATGGGTACATCTCTTTCAGCTCATCCATGTACTTGTCCCAGGGCATATTGGTCGTTGGACTGCAGACCTGCTGATAGGTTAGTTGGAGATCCGCTTGGCCTACTTTTTCTGGGAGAGTTCAGAAAGTTCCTTCTGTCCGCCTCCCTCGTGGTTCACCCCTTCCACTGTAACACATCACGCGGAAAGCTCTAAACTGGGTCAGAACATATTCACATGCCCTTTTCCATATGCAACTTTCAAAATACACTCCCTCAGAAAATGCTATAATTATATTTCTGTTACTGATGTAACTGAGAAAAGGGCTGTATTTAAGGAACTGTAGTTTAAAGGGGGAAAAATCCCTACTTCTTCAAATAGAGATGGAAGAATGATTTATTTTTAAGTCAAGACAGAGTCTCCTAATTTTAGTCTTAAAGTTAAAATGCTCATGTTTCTAGTCTTCCTGTTCTTCCTTCCTCTCTTTCTCTCTTCACTTCCTCTAGATTGTTGCCACATCCTTCTTAATAGTGTTTATCTTCTTGAGTGGCTTAAATGCTTTTCTGGGTTTGCTCTGAGTCTCACCGTATCACGTGCATCACAGGTGATTTCCCTTCCTGAATCTTGGAGCCTTTCCCCCTCACTC